TTGGGTGTCGTCAGCGTAGCAGTGGTATGAAAAACCATGCGGGCTAATGACTGATCCGAGCGAGTTTGTGTAAAAGGAGAAGAGGAGGAGACCAAGAACAGAGCCCTGAGGGACCCCTGTAGTTAATTGACAAGGGTCGGACTCGGACCCTCTCCAAGTAACCCTGTAGGTGCGGTCTTTGAGGTATGAGGTGAGGAGGGAAAGTGCAGAGCCTGAAACTCCAAGTTCTTGGAGAGGGCGAAGGAGGATCTGATGGTTCACCGTGTCGAATGCAGCAGACAGGTCCAGAAGGATGATGACAGAGGAGAGGGAGGCTGCTTTAGCCGTGTGCAGTTCGTCAGAGACAGCAAGGAGAGCAGTTTCTGTTGAGTGACCTGCCTTGAAACCAGACTGGTGCGGATCCAGAAGGTTGTTCTGATGGAGATAACAGGAGAGTTGTTTAAAGACAGCGCGTTCAAGTGTTTTAGACAGGAACGGGAGGAGAGAGACAGGCCTGTAGTTTATAACATCGGACGGGTTGAGAGTGGGTTTCTTTAGGAGAGGGTTTACTCTTGCCTCCTTGAGGCTGTTTGGAAAGTGACCAGAAGTTAGAGAAGTGTTGATGAAATGGGTGAGAAACGGTAGAATATCAGGAGCGATAGATAGTCTGAAGGAGGTTTGAGGGGATAGGGTCCAGAGGACAGGTGGTAGGACGGGCAGAGGTAATGAGGGTAAGAACCTCACTTGGAGAGAGAGGGGAGAAGGAGGTCAGTGTGTGGGTGAAGGGAGGGTCTGGTGACCTAGCGGTGAGTAAAGGTGAGTCAGAAAAAGAAGAGCGAATATCATCAACCTTTTTTTCAAAGTGGTTAACAAAGTCGCTTGACAGAAGGGAGGAGGGGGGAGGGGCTTTGGGGGGGTCCAAGAGGGTGGAGAAGATGGAAAATTGTTTTTTGGGATTGGAATAGGAAGATTGGATCTTATCTTGAAAGAATAGTTAATGCATTTACACCAACTACAATGTCCATGTAATTGCAGCTGTTACATTATGCAAAATAAGTGGAAAGCCATGTTAAGCTTAAAATGGGAGATCAGGATGTGACAGCTTTAAGCCTGATGCAAATGACTCAGTAATCTATTTTACACACAGTGTCCGGAACAAAAACCACAATTTACTGTCACTTTCCCTTTGTCTGCTTTCTCCCTCTGTCCCTCTGTACTCTGTATCCACATTACTACCCAGCATACACCCTCCTTAACATAAGTCATTTTCTCCTCCAGACGACGTCTCGCTCACTCTTCTCTTTTCCCCCCTTAAGCACTTCGGATGTGTCTTTCTGCTCAGAGAGAGAGAAATGAGATGAAAGCACAGGAGTGGAAGGCGGGAGTAAAGTAGAGGAGAGGCAGAGCGACAAGGAGTCGAGGACTGGAGAGGATCATCGCACGGACTCTATCGGGTCTGATGTTTCAGACGAATTGGTATCCTTGGTAACTGCCTCATTTGTAAAGCCGAGTGCTGGATGGCATTAGGATAAGAGCGCTCGGCACGGCAGACCACTGTGGCTCAGGAGGAATACAGGCGCAGGCCAAAGAATAAAAAACATGCGTCTCATTAGGGTGGATACGCTACTATGTTGTTTATTAAATGTACATTTGGAATTAAAGTGAGGCAGTATTCATGAAGGGAATTTTACAGGGAACGCTTGTGATGGACAGGCTGCATTAGTGAGCCCAGTTCTCAAAGCTTAAAGAAAGCAGCAAACTATCTTTTCCCCGCTGATAGCTTCAGCTCCACTTATCCCTATGAATGCTCGGCTCTTCACCAACCCGTCATCATGGTACATTTCAGGGCTTGAGTGACAAGAGGCAGTGTAGGCCCATTTTATGACAATCTGTCCTCTGCAATGTGGAGCAAATCACGGCCAAGCTGAGGCAGATACATCACTCGGTGGCTCCAGGATCCTCGCGTTGACGACAACAGGGACAGGCTGTGTTTGCTGAGTGATTTTGTGAATGTGAGGCCACTCTGCTACATGCGAGCGTCCGCCCACACAGCTCCAGCTAGAGGCTTTACTCCATCTGTGGCAGCTTTGTAAAGCACGTCAACTGTTATCTCATCACACTAATCAATTCTAACCAGGCTCTGGTAATTGCATCAATATAAAACTGTCTTGTTAAGTAGCACAATGATACACAGGAGCCCATATGCAGAAGCAGCTGTAGAGCAAAGGACAAGAAGAAGAGGAGCGTAAAGTCAACCCGTTTTCATTTTCATCTATAAAGGTTAGTTTCAACCAGTTACTGAAGTAGATTTACCGTAGCGGTATCCAGGAATGCAGATCATTTGGATTATATGAATAGTTTCGAACATACTGTTGAACGCACTGATTCCCTTTTTCAGTTTAATGAGATTGATATCACCGTGCAGTTCATATTAAGCTACTGCCATCAGTTGGTTAGCTTAGCAAGAAGACGGTAAATAGCTACCCTGACATCTTGGAAGGACACAATACCCTTTGGGTTTTCTAACCAATTAAACACATAATTGATTAGTGTTATAAGCAGCTTTAGAGCATCTGGGAGGTGGATTTGGTTACTGTTGGACAGAATAAAGATAGTATTCGCCATTGACCTTATCTTGAGAATCCAGATAATAATAAAATAAGATTTCCATATCTTCAAGGACATAGCCTTTTTACCAAAGGACAATTTAACCCTCTGGACTTCTTGAGTAGAAAGTTGTCAATTTCTCAATCATCCAGTGATCAAAGGACAGTAAGGCACAGTCTGCCACTTAACTCATTAGAAACTCTATCATTACTCCATCGATGAGTTCTGGTCATAAGATTACTGGACAACAGGAACATGGAGTCTGGGTAGTGGGTACAAACTATTTTCTGATTTAAAAAGCCAACAAATAGCTTGAGCGTGACAATCGACAGAGTGTACGTTCCTAATTAACTAGTGAATAAAAAGTGTAAACAAGGTTCCCTTTCTGACAGATGCTGAGAGAAAGTACACTCCTGGGCAGGAAGTAGTTGCCAGTCATGTGAAACCACGTTTCTGTTCGGGGAGAGACCAGACAGAAGCAGAAAGAGAAAATCCAGCGGGGAAAGAGAACAGATACGTTTGTCACACTTCAGCTTGCCGACTGGGAGAAAGGGACGCATAACAAGAGGACAAAGACTTAACATAAAACATCATGTCAGGTGTGTGTCTGACAGAAACTGATGGCAGCCGCATCAACAGCAGACTACTGGACTTTAAGTCCTAAATATATATTGATTCTAACACTTGATTGTATCTCAGAGAGGATCTAAAAACCCCCACAGTTGGTGGCTTCAATGTTTTAACCCAGCAACATAAAAGTTGGACACATTTTATAATTAGGTACTTGTAGCAGATGAAACATGTTCATGAAAGAAAGCATTTAGTGTAAGCTTTATATAAAATGTCAGAGTACACAACATGCGATTGGAAGAAATCCATACAAGTTCAACCAGCACAGAAAATGTAATTAGATGCTCTTAGGACTGTGTATGCTTTGGTCATGGAGGCTTTGTCCTTCTAATAATGGTACTTATTTTCTGTTTGCGTGATATAATGCACTAACTATGGCATTAATGTGAGATGAGACAATTGAAGTGTCTTAGTTCAGTAGAAGTGTAAACACAGGCTGCAGCAGTGTAAACACAGCTTAATGATATTATTCAGAAAGTGTTGAATACATGGATCAGGAACAAAAAGACCAGTCGGACAGCACTGCAGTGAGACTCGGCTAAAAGCCATTCATTGTGATATTCAGAGTGAAGCTGATATCAGAAAGTCAATAATGTCAACACTGTATAATGTTATGAACCCAACACAGATAGAAACACTTACTGTTCTAATACAGAATGAAGATTCACCAGATGTATCATGGGTAAAGGCGAAATCTTTACCATTTAACCCCAACAGGAAAGCATAATGTCTCTCAATCATGACAAAAAATGCTTCTACAGTACCTCTGAGGAAGACACATACTCAGTGATTTTGGGGACATTTTAAAAGTCAGTTCAGTGAACTGTGTGTCTGCATTGAAACAGGGACAGTAAAGCCACAGAAGAGTACTTGTGGTGAGGGGAAAATAAAGCAAAACGAGCCAGAACTTAAGAGTTACAAGCTTTGAGTCGTAATTGGGTTTTTCTTAATGTGTGGCCACCAAGAGCTATTGTTTTGGACTTGGGAGTAAACCAATGTTTTTAATTTTTAAATAACTCTTAGACTAGTGATATCACTGGTTAATCGTCCCCTTAGTCAATGAATGGGACATTTAATCTGATGATCCATTATTCATATGATAGTCTTTAAACATAAATAAGTTGAAAAAGCTCTGTTTAGCAACCAATTGCTTTAGATTTTGGAAAAACTAAGTAAATGATTGAAATTAGGCAACAGGGGATCAAATTAAAGAGGCCGTTACTTTGATTGATACTAAGTTTCAAAGCTGTTGGAAAGATTTCGGATAATGTCAATACAGAACTCAACAAAATATATAAATCATAGTCCTAGTTGTTTTTAGACAATATAATGCGTACATTCCTTTGCTTGATATCTTTAATTTCTGTTCTTATGAGAGGAGGTTATTGATTCTTGGTAATTATTTTGTGTCAAAAATATGAATTTGTATAAGCTCAAAAGGCCTTTTGCACAGCAGACATTAAGATTTGTTAAAAGAGAAAAAGCACAAAAATGATGAGACTGATTGAATCAAGAGTCCCAGTAAGTCATGACAGTGAGCCACCATGGAAACTGAAGCAGCTAATTAGAAATGAAACATCATTCATTTGGTTAAACAGTCCTTTTTCATACTGTGACATGTCACAATGTCTTCCATCCAAAAGGCCTCTAACTCGTGTGCTTTTCTTAGTGTGATGCCAGATTGCACTGACCCTGCTTGTTTGAGGGAGGATAGAAGGAAATGATAGAAACTAATTTACTGGGAAGCAGACTAACCTGATGGCCTCTCATTCTCTGGAAGTGTCCGATGGTGTCGCTGATGGTATACACTCGCACGTGGCCCATGTGCAGTCGCCCCGAAGGGTACGGAAACATGGAGAGGACATAAAACTTCTTCTTCTCTGAACTCTGAGGAAACAAAACATGGGATGAAAAAATGTACGTAAAACTTTATTTGAATTCTGAGAAAACACAATAATGGTTGATCTATAATCAGTGGGGGGCTTGTGTACAATATGCTGCATTAACCTGACGAAGTCATGACAGGCGTAATAACTCATCTCCTACACAGCGAGAGCACTGACTGACTTCTGGTGTGTGTCGGTGTCTGATTATAGATGGTTTACAGTCACAAGTTCACAACACAGTTACCAAGGCAACAGACTAAGTACTGGTTACACCCAGTTATACGTGATTACAGGAAACCCGAGTCATGAATTTTTCAATAAATTAATTAGGGACCAGGGCTGTCTTGAATGCACTTAATCACTGTCGGCCCGTCCCAGACTGATGCACGGTGCGACCATTAGGGTTTATAATCAGTCGGAGCTGCAAGCGCCAGACCCCGTTAGAGCTGGAGGGATGTGGAAGGATGTGGAAGGATGTGGAAGGATGCAAGACGACATCATTATCTAAACTATAAGAATTTCATTCATTTATCTAAACTGTGCACACATACAGCTATTTAACATTTTAAGTATTTACTCATTCAATGGGACTACCAGCGGTGTTCATTTTTTCAACAAAATACATTACCCCAAACACTAAGTGTAACAATTTCAACATGCAATATCTTTGATAAAAAAATGCAGTAGAAAAAATGCAATCTTTATATCTAAAAACTAAACAAAAATCCCTTTTTGAATATATATTTTGGGCCAGAGTGCCTTTATTGATAGATACAGTGTTGAAAGGGAAAGACAGATGGGAGGACAAAAGGAAAGTTCCATAACAGAATTCAAAACTGCGAACTGGGCAACGGACAGCTCTTTTTGATTTAATTGAGGTCGAATATAATATGATAACTAAAACATTGGTAACAGTTTTCATAGAATTTTTCTAATAAGTTACCTTTTTCTTTGACTAAAATAGACTAAAATGTCCAGGCTTGTAGTAAACTAATATTTAACAACAAAAAACAGGATGTTTGCATTTGCCTAATTTTGCATACAACCCTAATTATTTGCACATTGAGTTGGTCTTTTACTCATGACATGGGCCTGGGAGGTAAGGACATAATAATGCACCACATTAAATGGTGTTTAACATGCAATGTAGTGAAAATAAAGTCAATAGGGTCTCATATCTTAAAGCTCCCATGTCATGCTTTTCCGGTTATTACCCGTCCCCTTGTGTGTTATGAAGGTTTTTCTGCATGTAAACGGTGTGCAGAGTCAAAACCCTTAAAGTACACCCTGTAGCGAGTAAAACTCTAACACAGAAAATACCTCCCCAAAACGCCTCGTTGGTGAAACGTCATCATCCATTTGATTCTTCCGGGTACGTGCTTACGAAAGCACGTACCCGGAACTAAATGGGCCAATCCGTGGAGTCGTTACGTTACGTCCGCGGAGCCGTTACGTTAAGCCCCCGCTGATTGGTCCAAATTGACCAATCCACACACACACTCAGTGCGGGCAGCTCTGCTGATTTTTGCTCCCTGGCTGCAGGCTGATAACAGACAGTTTGGATCGCGGCGAAATTCTCTCAGCAGACCCATTCTCACAGCGTTTATCAACCTTTTTCTTGTACGCAATATCAAGCCACACTTATTGTTTTTACTTCGGCTGTGACTTTGTGTGTGCTCAGGGTGAGTTTGGCTGTGTTTCGCTGTGTATCGCTAAACAAGGGAACCACATCTCCACGGAGGTCAGCGCGATTCACAACGTGAACATAATCAGAGCACACTGTGCTCACAGGGAGGGTGGGGGCTGGAGCTATTGGAGCTACAACGAGCCGTTAAAGGCAGAGAGTGAAATTCAGTGAATACACGTAGTTTACAGAGATGCTGTATGAGAAACCAAAGTGATTTTGGAAAATTGCACAATATAAATCTATTCTAGTAGACCTCAACAATGGAATTATGATCAGTGGAAATGGCCATGAAATGGGACCTTTAAATAAGGATAAGGTGTTTACGTGCCACAGTATCCAGGTTAACGGGATAAGGGCCTAACCAGGTTTCTAAATCGAGTGTACACACTCAAAAAATAAAGCCAATCAACTCAAAGACTATGACGAAGATGTGTTTTTGGATAATCTCAAGGTTAAAGACAATAGGTGTGAAGTGTGAAGGCCTTCTTACCTCCTTCAGTTCATCCTTCCTCCACTGTGCCATAATTCGTGGGTGCCACCATTCTTCCACCTTGCGTCGGGTCTCTGTTTTGTAGTCCTTCTCCCACTCTCCTGTCTCACTGAGCAGGGTGCGGGTGCTGGGGGGGAGGAGGCGGGCCGCGGGGCTCAGGAGAGCTCCTCTTATCAGGCCGGACCGGGCGGCACCCAGGGGAACCAGAGCCAGCCTTCTCACTGACGCCTGCATGCTTCCTCACCTGAAACAGAGCAGGTACAGTTAAAGAGCGGGTCAGTGGACAGGAGGGTGCTGTCAGGGAATAAATGAAATATCCAGAGGTGGGTTGACTTCAAGATCAGAAGTTTGTTCCTGTACTTATATTTATTGTATTTCTTTCTATGTTAATACATATTTCTTTAGCTTTTGTAATTTTTCTGCCTAATGATTCCAATTGTTTTTTTGTTTGTTAAATGTAGTATTTCCTATGATATTTGGATTTGTTTTACTTTTTTTCCTTGGTTATCTAATTTTTTTGTTCTACTGTTCTTTCTTTTAAAAGGTCCCATGTCATGCTTTTCTGGTTATTACCCGTCCCCTTGTGTGTTATGAAGGTTTTTGAAGGAGCTCAGACCCCACGCAGCAACCAGGAAACAACACCAGTAATCCAGCTCACATTGTCCGCTTCTCGAGCCTCACAGGGCGGACCAGCGAGCCCCGCAACGTCCTGCTAACACGGCACCCAGACCCCACGCAGCATTCTCATGTTTGCCATTACTGGTGTCATTTTCTGGTTGCTAACAAACGCCATTGTAAAACATAGAAACTGATGTTCAGCTGTAACGGTGGCTGACCAATCAGAGCTCAGTGGGCGAGCTGACCAATCAGAGCACAGTGGGCTCACAGAGCAGGAGCTCCAACAAGCCGTTTAGGACAGAGAGTGAATGTACATACTATACAGAGATGCTGTATGAGAAACAAATGTGATTTTGGAACATTGAACAATGTAAATCTATTCTAGTAGACCTCAACAATGGAATTATGATCAGTAGAAATGGCCATGACATGGGACCTTTAATATATCTGAATGCACTTAAATGTAGTTCCTTTTGAAATGGAAATTAACATTGACCTTAGGGTGTGCTACAATCTTTGAACTTCAGAAATATATTTTATATACTTACATTTACCAGTTTCCACCCAAAGAAAAACATAACTTATGCTGAATGTTCAGGTGAGTGCTCAGGGTAGTTTCTAATGTCGGCAGACACAATCCAGATATTGACCACACTAAAAAAAAGTTAATCTAATCCACAGAATTTTTTTTACCCTCGGACAATAATCAATCACACACAATGGCTTTGTGTGCATTTCGCTCAAGCACTGAAAATGCAACAAGATGACACCCCTTCAAAATCATCACCTGTGCATGGGAGTCCGGGACCTCCGGCTCTGCAGATTTTCTCTCACAGTTCCAACGTCAATCACACAACAACAGCCTGGCGTTGTGAAATAAGAGGTTTATTCAGCGTGATGTGATTACGCTCTGCTTTGGACAGGCTGTTCTTATTAAAGTGCATGCCAGCTCAGATGTGAGAATGACATTTTCAATCAAATTAATTACAATTATTCACAGATTTCTCTGCCACAAATCTGCTCATCAGTTTAAAACACTTTGCTTTTTGTTAAGTCTCCTAAATACTCGAACAGCCTTGGGTATCTGACAGTAATTACATGTGGTAATTAAAAAGGATTGAATTACAGGGTTATCAAAAACAGGATAAAAATGACTAATTTCTGAAATTAACAACTCAGATTTGACTGTGGGTACTTCAAAAAAGTTTGACACTCTTTTGCATGAGCACAGCAGTGAGGCTCGACCCCCCTGTGGTTCAATGTAGGTCAAACACTCAACTAGAAGTGAGAAAAACATTTTGACCCAAATTTGTCAGACAGTTTCCAAGGTAACCTGGGATATACATAAAATCTCTTCACCTCCGTGGTAGCAGAAGACGACTGTTGCTGCTAACCCGACCCGTCCAAGAGAATATTTTTACAGCAGTGACATATCTGGATCTCAGAGAGCGAGACTTTTATAGCTGCTCAGTGAAACAAGGGAATAATTAGCACACCAGAGATACAGATTTAAATGGGGTGAATAAAAAGTAGGTCTGTTCATCTATAGCTGTGGGAGCAATTAAAAAGGTTGTTCTATGTTCTGTGATATTAAGAGAAAACAAATCTGTTGTTTATATCAGTGGAAATAAATGTAGACTCCTGTATGGTATGAGTCAAATCATATTATTTTCACCAGCAGATACAAATTGTGGATTACAGCAAATAAACAAAGTGCAAATTAAATTAGTGTCACTCAAATGGAAGAAACTTCAAGGGTTTACTGACCAGGGGGACAGATCTTCTGAGGTTAGCTCTGAGCTTTTTTTCAACTAAATGAGTGCGACACCAGAGAAGGGTGCTCGCCCCCCTCCTCTCCTCTTCTCTCACCACCCACCTGCTTGTGGGAATGTGTTTTTCACTCAATTCTCCAGAGTATAACCTGAGTCTCGCAGCAGCCGACCATCCTCCCTCAGGCTCAGGCCGGGAGACGAGCACTCAAGGTTGTGTACATCTCTGAAGGTGCAAGTGAGTGGGCTGAGGCGAGAGACTGAGAAAATGTTTCTATGGTGACTGGGCTCAACCGTTCGGGTGTCTCCTATTCAGAGTGACTGAAAACTTCTGCAAGCAACACGCTGGTTCACCACAGCAGAGGAGGGCCAAGCTTTATCTGAACATCTGTAGCTGTTGGTCATGCCTACAGCCTGGTATCACACTACAGTACTTGTTGTATGGACTTTTCTACTTTATACTGACGAATACTGACAGTTGGAGTTGTTATTCTTCTGGCTGTTGCTACACTTATCTTCAGATATTTCATCTTAAATTAGCTCATTCAATACTATATTTTATTCAGAAAAATACTTATATGGTTGTTTTATATTATGACTAATTAAACACTTTTGCACTTGGGAAAGAGCATCTAATTACACTTGGGAAGTTGTATTTTGTTCAACTGAAAAGGGAAAATTATTTTGAATAGATTCCAAATCAATGCATCATTACAAAACGGGACGAGTCGGACAAACTTTAATTTAAAAATGAATATTTTAATGAAAGTGTTTTACTGCACAAATATTTTTAGCAGAGATAGATAAATATAAGAATAAATGAATATCCGTTTTACATAAAATATTCATAAATTCATGTATTCATGTTACATGATATTTCCTTTATAAACAAAAGGTGTGTCCTCCTCGTCCAGTATAATAATAATAATTTCAGGTACAGATTGGATTTATTGAAAATACATAATTAAAATACTGCCGATTTTTTCATAAAGTTATTCATATAAAATAATAAAAGTACTACAAAGAAAAGAAAGAGGTGTGTCTCGATTGTCCAGTGTAGGAATAATATCTGATATGGATTTGGAGTCACTTTTTAAATCTAGCTATTTAAAAAAAATGTTTTATCTTATGTTAAAATATGTATGGGAAAGCAATTCATGAATCATGACATATAAGTAATGAAAAGAGGCGTGCCAAATAAGACACATTTGTTTCAATTTTAGCATTATTTTCAATAACATGAGCAAGTTATACTCATCGACTATAACACGTTTTTTGTCGTTTTGATGGTGCTAAAGTGAAACCCTGGCTCACTACAGACAGTCTCTGAAACTGAGGAAGAAGAGAGACTGTCTGTCAAATATGTCCTTGTCTGTGTAGCAGATCCTCATCCAAAACATACTTTAAAAGGTGGTTCTGATCTTACTAGTTAAACATGAGGACAACTTCATGCAACGAAATTGTAACTTGCATAACTTTAGTTCCACTACGCTATAATAAGATAGATATATAACAAAATACAATAGCCAATATGTGTGCTAGCATGTCATTGATTTAGATTATAGGTGTATCTTTCTGGTCCTCCGTTAGCTACAAATATAAAACGTACATCTGCTGGATTAGCTCTTGTATAACTACTACTGGTTCCCCTAGTATACTGTTAGTTATATAGCCTACATATAAAGTTAAATAGATATATTTATATTCTGTAACGTTAAAGTCAGAGGTTATAGTGAAAATGAAACAGAGGGACATTTTAGAAAAACACCAGTTTTAAGCTTCTTACTGTTTTATTTCCAGGTCCTTTAATTCCGCGTTATGATCGTGTAGACATACATCCAATAGTCCACGTTATTTATGTCGTATTCATGTTTTAAATGAGCTATACATGACCTATTTCTGGGATCACGACTTCGCCACAGGCGCCGCCATCTTGAATTTGAATAAACTTTATCAGCACAGTCTACATCGACAACAAAAAAACTGTATTAGCGACATTTGTTTATACGACATGCCTTTCTAATGTGATAGTTTTTAAGACATGACTACTTTTGATTAAAACTTCTCCTCAGTTATTTTTTTTAAATTTTATTTTATTTTCAACCAGACCACTAAGGTCCTCCTTCTTTCACATACATGCCGAACATGCGTGCGTGCGTGTGTCTGTTCTTGCAAGATCTTAATGGTTCGTCTCAGTTATTAAGTGAGTGATGGCACTGCTTGTTACCTTAGCAACTCTGTAATCTCCTCCTGTTATTAATTCTAATTTTTCATTGAAAAAAAGTATTACTCCAGTTAATTTACTGCCTCTAGATACAGAGCAGTGTTTTGCACATCTAAAATAACCCGAACATGCACATTTGACAGATAAATCGCATTCATTGTCAAGAATCTCATTTTCATTTGTAATTCTGCCTGATGGGGATTCTTAAAACATAAAAAAACTCGATTTAAACTATTGCCAGGAAAATAAATTATTAACTGATGATTTATCTGTGTCAAAGAAGATGAACAACATTTGGGTTGCCAGGTTTGTAAGATTTCTATTGATGGTGTCCTTCATTGGATATATAACAAAGTTATGTTTATATTGCTTGATTACTCATGGCTCTTTTACTCTGATAAGCTATACAATTGTAATTTGGTATAGATGCTTTGCAGCTGTTTTGCCGTTGGTTAGTGTTGTAAAATGTTAGTTTTTTAAATTGAAAAGGGTATTTTAGAATCTTAGAGTTAAAAACATGTTTTTATTAATGATTCGACTTAAATAAAGCAATAATTTTAGATTTCCTATTAATTAACACGTTTTTTTACACTTGTTAGCATCTTGTAAAGAGTGCAAGAAACCAGTTGATTCTAAATAGAACAAGAAAAAAAACACATAGGCCTACATGAAATGTACATAATTTATTCATGTATTCACAACATTTTTGCATTTAAATAAACTCAAATCACAGTCCTAGATGAAGATACTTACCAAAAATGTGGATTTTTTTTTATAAATCCATGACACATATCTACCGCCAACAGCACTACTTTCATTATACATGATTTTAGAGAGGAGCCCTATTTCTTTGATGCTAACATCTAGTGTTAAGTGATTGCTGAATGAGAGAGCACCTTAACTCACTCTCATCTTCATCACATAGCAGAAGGAGGGAGATGACGAGGAGGAGGAAAGGAGACTCATCAGAGCCCCTTCTCTACGAGTTCTCACCTTTGATCTGACATGAAGGAGTGAAGGGAAAATGGAGGTTGGGAAATTATCAGCAGGAGATAGAGTTCCCAGCCTGACGTCACAGAGCTAAACCTGCAGCTCTGCTCCGGGCTGCCGTCGTATATCAGAGCAAAGTGGGCAGCTCTGCTCAGGGCACAACAGGATGTGGATGAAGAGGAGGAATGAGAGTGGGAAATGGGTTTTTGACACAGTTGAGACACTAACTCTACACTACAGCCAGAGATCTGTCTGCAGATACAGAAGAGGCTCCCGGATGAATGTATCTCATACTCACTTCCTCATCATGATGAATGGTATTTTATTATTTGTTCAAAATTGAAATTCCTGCTGAAATCCAACACTTGGAATACATTTTTTCCTGCAGCTCTGTGTCACTGATCCTCACTGCTCAAAAGCATAAAGCTGTTTTGCAAAGCTAAGAAAATATAAGAGCCCCAATATGATGGATGAAAAAGGTGAACTATAAGGTCAGACAAAGGTGAGCTTGAATGTCACTTTTTCAAGGCAGCCTTCATTGAAGGGCTTTCATGTTAAGAGTCAATATAACGGTTTGAACTTTACACCAGATCTAAAGCAATGGAAGAATAATCACTCACATGACAGCACAGACACCATTTTAGACGTGCAGTGTTTAACTTTGTGATTTAACCCTCCTGTTGTGTTCGTTTCAAGGATGATACTCTAAGTCACAACGGCACTGAAGGCGGATGAAGGCTGCAACAGAGGGTGGTCTCCATTCGTCATGGATTCCATGCCATTGGATTCAGGCCCCTCTCTGCCAAGGACCGTGTGGTGGCTGCAGGCGCATCAGTCTCCCCACGTTAAAAGACGTCACGCGCAGGCGTCCTCCCGAAGGGAACCTACCCATTTTACATCCTGGAAGACAAAGTCCTGTGGCGTTCAGGAAGTGGTAACGGGGGCAGGACAGTGAAGTCTGGTAGTTCCTAGTCACAACCTGGCACACAGGCGATAGGTGTTTGATTCAGTCGCTAAGCTCTTGGACTGAGGCAGAAAGAGCTTCTCGGCAGCTGCACCCATGACTGAGCAGCCCCTATTCAGGGTCCACTCTGCTCACCCCAGTAGGGGAGGGGGTTAGAAAAGGTACCCCAAACATAGCCTGCCTCACAAAATCCTGTCTGGAATACCGCATCCAGAGGGATCACCATTACGCGGTCAAAAACAAAAAATAAAAAAAAAACATTTACGTATTGGAGCCTGGAATGTGCGGACCCTCACGGACAACCAAGCCAGCGATCGACCTGAAAGGCGAACTGCCATCATCTCCAGAGAGCTAGGGAAGTTCCAGATCGACATTGCAGCGCTCTCCGAGACCCGACTGGCTGATGAAGGGCAGCTGAAGGAGGAAAAAGGCGGATACACTTTATTTTGGAAAGGAAAGCCTGCAAATGAGCCACGAATCCATGGTGTGGGTTTTGCTATTAAGAACTGCCTCATCAACCACCTCCATGAACTCCCTGTGGGCATCAACGAGCGCCTAATGACCATACGTCTGATGCTTGCCAGGAGTCAGATGGCCACCGTTATTAGTGCCTACGCCCCAACGCTTGATGCACAGGATGAAGTAAAGGAGGCCTTCTATGCTGACCTGGACAAAACTCTATCTGAAGTCCCCAAGGAGGACAAGTTGACCCTGCTCGGAGATTTCAATGCCAGAGTGGGACGAAACCACCACCTATGGAGAGGCACGCTGGGGAGAGAAGGGGTTGGAAACACAAACTCCAATGGCATACTACTGCTAACCAAGTGCTCAGAGCACAACCTGGTCATCACCAACACACTTTTCCCTCAAAAAACCAAGTTCAAAACATCATGGATGCATCCTCGCTCCAAACTATGGCATCTCATTGATTACGTCATTGTCCGCTCCAAAGACCGCCGTGATGTCCTTAACACCAGAGCAATGACCAGTGCAGACGACTGCTGGACTGACCACCGCCTCATTCGCTCCACCATGTCTATCCGCTTAATGTGGAAAAGAAGGATGCAGAAAATATAGAGCCGGCCAAAGCTTAACATCGACCTGTTGGGTGACACCACCAACAACAGCTGCAGGATGCTCTTAGCGCAGCCTTGCCCAAACAGTATCCGGAGGATACTGAAAAACACTGGAGCACACTTTCTACTGCCATCATGAACTCCTGCAAAAACATTCTTGGTCAAAAAAAGCGGAGACATCAAGACTGGTATGATGAGAATGACACAGAGATTCAGCAACTCATTGACATCAAGCGGCAAACTTTTATCACCTGGCAAAATAACATCCACTGCAAGGTGAAAAGAGCAGCCCATGCCAAAGCGAAGGCAGCCGTCCAAACGCAAGTTAGGAAACTGAAGAACCAGTGGTGGACAAAGAAGGCTCTGGAGATCCAGCAGTTTGCCGACTCTGGTGATACAAGAGGATTCTTTGATGCCACAAGAGCGGTATATGGTCCCAGCTATCGCCGCCTAACCCCCCTTCGCTCTAAAGATGGGCTCTTGCTTCTGAAGGACAAGGATGCAATAGCAAACAGGTGGAAAGAGCACTATAAGGACCTCTTAAACAGGGACACCATTCCTGAGATGGAGGCTCTTGACCAACTCCCTCAACAGCCCATAGTTGAAAGCATGGGAGAACCACCCAGCCTGGGTGAGGTGCTGGATGCCATTAAGAATATGAAAAACAACAAGGCTGCTGGGCCCGACGGCATCCCAGCAGAAGTCCTGAAGAAAGGCGGACCTGATCTTCTTAAGCACATCCATGCCCTGCTTCTCAAAATCTGGGAAGAAGAGGAAATCCCTGCTCAGCTTAGGGATGCCTTAATTGTCTCCATATTTAAGAAGGGAGACAGGGCAGACTGCGGAAATTACCGTGGCATTTCTCTCTTGTCCACCATGGGGAAAGCCCTAGCTTGGGTGTTGGCCAACAGACTCACCCCCCTGTCAGAAAGCATCCTTCCAGAGTCTCAGAGTGGATTTCGCCCAAACAGAGGCACTACAGACATGATTTTCACTACTCGCCAACTGCAAGAAAAATGCAGAGAACAAAATCAACCATTATACATGGCCTTCATCGACCTCACCAAAGCCTTCGACTCAGTGAGCCGTCAGGCCCTCTGGCTGGTACTGGCAAAGATTGGCTGCCCAGAAAAATACGTCCGGGTACTGAGACTGCTGCATGACAATATGTCAGCCACGGTACTCAGTGGCAGTGGAGACGAAACTGAACCCTTCCGGGTCGACACAGGAGTCAAACAGGGATGTGTCATCGCTCCAACACTATTCTCCATCTTTGTTGCTGCTATCCTACATCTCACAAGCAAGCATCTGCCCCAGGGAGTCAACATCATGTACAGAACTGACGGCCAACTCCTCAACATCAACCGTTTCAGGGCTAAAGGTCAAACCACCACCATATCGATCATGGAGCTGCAGTATGCCGGACGACAACGCCCTTGTAGCCCTCTCAGAAGAGGACCTCCAGGGTATCCTATCAGCCTTTGCGAAAGCATACAAACAGCTTGGTCTAGCCATCAACATAAAAAAGACCCAAATCCTCCACCAACCACCACCAAACAGCAGTACGCCTGTCCTTCCCCCAAACATCTCCATTGACAACATCAGACTGGAAAATGTGGACCACTTCCCATACCTTGGCAGCCTCTAGTATCATCAAAAGCTGTTATT